GGGGGGGGTCAGTTTGGTACAGTTGTGTGAATATAATTTCGTCAACAGTGGAATGATTGGGTCATTCATCAAAGCCAGTGTAACAACAGAGGTTTGATCGGTGTGCCATAACTCACGCTAATGGAATGTGGTAAATTGCATACACGAATGCAAAGTTGAAGTTTGTCAAATGTCCCTTCGCGTCAGCGCTTGATGCGAGCAGTTTTACCTGTCAAAGTGGAAGCTCGAAAGTTCTCATTTTCTTAAACATGTGGACATTGCTGCACGGCGACCCTTGAGAAAATGATCTGTAGAGAATGTTTGCTGACAAGCCTACCTTTGTGCTCTCAGATCGCACTGAGGGGGGATATAACGTTTGGTTGTTGTTGCTGTTGCTGTTGTTGTGTTATTATTGCTGCTGCTTTTATTGTTGCTGTTGTTTTTGCTGTTTTAGTGGTGTTGTTGTGTTTTGCTGTTGTTGTTGCTGTTATTATTGTTGCTGTTGTTGCTTTTTTGTTGCTGTTGGCTCGGGTTTATCGGAAATGAACGTCTTATATATATATATATATCGATAGATAGGTTCAGCTTTCTGATTAACCTCACAGTGCTGACAGATGGGTGAGCCCTCGTGATACAGTACGTTGCAAAAGCAATACAGAGCTAGACCCCATAGTTATACAATACAGCACAGGATAATAGAGGAGCTCTACAATACAATACAATGCAATCCATTCCAGTCCAATGTAGCGCAACGCAATGTAAAGGCAACGCAACGGAATAAGGTACAAGACGGTTCAATACAATACAATAAAGTACAATACAATACAATACGATACGATACGATACACAACAATACAATACAGTAAGGTACACGACGTTACAATACGATACTATAGGGTACAAGACCATACAATACAATAGGGTGCAAGACGTTACAATACAATAGGGTGCAAGACGTTACAATACAATACAATACAATAGTGCACAAGACGGTACAATACAATACAATAGGGCACAAGACGGTACAATACAATACAATACAATAGTGCACAAGACGTAACAATACAATACAATACAATACAATAGGGCACAAGACGGTACAATACAATATAATAGGGCACAAGACGGTACAATACAATACAATAGGGCACATGAGGGTACAATGCAATGGGGCACATGACGGTACAATACAATACAATATGGCACAAGACGGTACAATACAATATAATAGGGCACTAAACGGTACAATACAATATAATAGGGCACAAAACGGTATAATACAATATAATAGGGCACAAAACGGTATGATACAATACAAAAGGTCACAAGACTATACGATACAATACAATACAATAGGGCACAAGACCGTACAACACAATAGCGTACAACACGGCACAATACAATACAATAGCGTACAAGACGGCACGGTACAGTATTCTTTCAATTGCTCAATGTGTCTTCAACTTAGTGTTTTGTTTCCTATCTTCCAGGATCAGAGATTCCGAGGGCGGAGTTTAACATGACGCGCGTGTTGCCCCCGCCCTCCGTGCCCTTCTACAGGTACCGAGGCTCGCTGACCACGCCCCCTTGCACGCGCAACGTCATCTGGTCCGTGTTCGCCACACCACAGGTCATTTCCAGGTCACAGGTGCGTCAATGATTCCGCTTTGGATTTAGTTTAGCACTATTTTGTTCATTGTATGGGTTTATTGCCTTTTTCAAAATTGTAAGATTCTGATTTCGGGACGGGGCCTCCGAATTACATTTAGTATCCATCTCCGATGAAACCAAGCCAAATGGGTGTAGAGACATATACAAAAATCTCCATGAAACAACCGAAGTTCAGAACGACCCCCTAGGTTTAGCACCTACCACGACGTACGTGGTGTTCGATACATCTATATTAATTTGCTGAACAAAGTGAAGAAAGAAGGCTGTGTGAAAGGGGGGGGGGGGTCTTTCTCCGCAAACGCAGTTGATTCTACTCTTTGACTGTTCTTATAGTCAGGTATCCATGTTGATTTGGTCATGGCCTCGATTCACGAACGAAGATCCATGATGAAGAAGGGTCAACGTCGAAAGCAGACAGGTTCAAGGCTGACTAAGCCAACGCGAGACAAGCAGATTCGACCATAACGGCCATAGGTTAAAATCTAGTCTGGATATGGTGCTGAGGTTTTGCGGTTCTTCCTTCTCTTTCCCTTGTTGTTTGTTTGTTTTGTTTGTTTGTTTGTTTGTTTGTTTGTTTGTTTGTTTGTTTGTTGGTTGGTTTATTGTTGGTTATTATTGGTTTACTTTTTGTTGTGTGTGTGGTTTTTTCTGTGTTTTTTTTGTTTGTTGTTGTTGGTTTGTTGTTGTTGTTTTTTTAGTTGTTGTTTTTTGTTGGGTTTTTTTTTTGGGGGGGGGGGGTTAACTGGCCGTGTAAGAGTCTTCAAAGGAGGAGACAAACTGGTATGTGATGTCCCGCCAGAATTCGCGGCTTCCTGCAAGGGTCTACCAATGGTGGTTATCGATATGACAGATATCAAACGACTTTTTCTCAGGGAGCCCCTTTTACTTCTTTGGTGCCCTGCTCTGTCGCGTTAATTCTTCATTCCAAAGTCGTTTCGTGCTTTACAATAATATTTTGTTTAATAAAATGTAGTACACACAACCGTGAACTGTCCCTCCAAGGACAAGTGATTATCTTCAGACTGAAAACACAACATAGAAGACTCAAACAGGACAGGTACTGATGTTTTAAACCAATGCAATCACCAAAATGCCAGTGTGGAGAAGTGGACCAAACTGTGAAACGCATCCTTCAGCACTGCAAGACACACAGAGCCCTGAGACAGGAAACGTGGCCAACCCCACTGACACTGCAGGGGAGGCTATACGGGCCGAATGGTGAACTGAGCAGGACGGCCCAGTATGTAATAGATACCGCACTTCAAGTGTGGTGCGAAGAAGAAGAAGAAGAAGAAGAAGAAGAAGAAGAAGAAGA